GCGGTTCCTTGCTGCTGCTGCTGCTGCTGCTTTGGGCCTGCTGCTGCTGCTTCTGTTGCTGCTGCTGCTGCCCGTGGAGGCGCCAAGTCTGCAACGCCGCACGGGGCCGCCCCAGTCCTGTTGCTGCTGATGTTGCTGCTGCAGCTGCTTGCTGCTGCAGCAGCAGCAGCGCATCAGCCGGCGACAGCAGCTCCACAGAGACACCAGATTCCTCCCACAGCGCCTTGACACTGCTGCTGCTGCTGCTGCTGGCGCTGCTGCTGCTGCTGCTGCACACAGGGGCAGCAAGGCGACAAGTGCTCTCCGCAGGGACAGCATGCTGCTGCTGCTGCGGTTGCTGCTGCTGCAGCTGCTGCAGCATTTTCTGCACGCTGCAAGTGCGTGGCTCTCCGTCCCGCCCTGTTGCTGCTTCTGCTGCTGCTTCCGCTGCAGCAGCAGCAGCAGCAGCAGGGAACTGCTGCAGCAGCCCCACCACTGTGTGCCTTTTTCTTATCTCCATTACTAAACCCAAAATGGGGGGCCCCCCGGGGGGCCCCTCCAGCAGCACAGCGTCGCCTAGCCGGGCCCCTAGGAGGCCCTCACAGAGACACATGTCCCCTGAGCAGCAGCAGCAGAAGCAGAAGCAGCAGCAGCAGCAGCAGCGAGGCAGCAATCGCAGCAATCGCGATTCACTTCATTAGGCGCGCGGCAACGATGGCCAGTTCTGCGGCGTCGAAATTACACCGGTGGCATAAACGGCAGCAGCAACAGCAGCAGCAGTAGCAGCAGCAGCAGCAGCAGCAAGATAAGCTCACCGACTGTTGCTGCTACAATTCCCTCTGTCTTCATTTTTGCTGCTCCTTTGAAAGCAGCAGAAGGGCCCCCTTCCATCTGCCGCAGCAGAGACGCAACAGTCTCGGATCCAAACCGACGCTGCTGCTGCTGCTGCTGCAGCTGCTTCTGCAGCTGCAGCTGCTGCTGCAGGCAGCATGACGTGTAGGGGTACTCGGCTGGGGCTGCCCAGCGGGCGCGGATGGCGGCAAGCGCTGCTGCTGCT